TGAAAGGCTATTAGTCCAGTGCAGTACGATCAGAATCGACTTGAAGCCCGTGGATGGATCTAAATGTGAATGTGTGCTCTATATCAAGCCGGGTGTATTCATTTAAGCATAGCGTTGCCTATGGAGGAGTCTTCGGGCTTTGGATGTTATTTCTGTCGTCAGCTATTCCATGTAATACTTTATTGTGCCATGTGGGTTGTGAGACGACTTGATTATTCGCACATGTGTTGTGGTCCCGTGTGGCTTGCAGGATGGCTCTCGAGATGCAAGTCATTTATTTCACCTTAGTCGTGCTTGAGTTTTGTAGTGTATGGCGTTATCTGTCTCCCCATGAATGGTATTACGAACTTGGCGTGCTTGTGGTTGACATTCGTGTATTTCGTAGGTATGAGCATTCTAGCTCGGTAAGTATTTCCTTATAGATTATTATGTGTGGATTGGGCGGCACGCCGCCAATTGTGTGTTGATTGGATCGGGTGGGACGCTGCCACGGGTATCATGGTTGGAGCGGGTTGCACGCCACAACACTGTGATGTTGAGTATAGTTCCCCCATATCTATTCTTGTGTGTTTGTTACTCATTTTCTGAGGAAGGTTCATAACATCCTTCAGTTGTTTAAATAGTTACGTGGGTTGAGTAGTTCTTTCCAGAGTTCGTTTCCTTATGTATCACCTTCGAGTTAGTAACTTGTTGGCACATTGTGGCATCAAATGAGACTTTTGGCAGTGTCTGAGGTGGCTTATTGCCTGAGCAGCTTGTACTGGGGGAGAAGAGATTATTGGACTTGGGATCAGTGCGATTAGATTTATAGAAGGCATATTAAAGAGCAAATATCGTTATGGAGTTCAAAATGAGGTAGTGGTTCTTGTCAGGAGAAGAGACTCAATGATTTGTTGATTTGGTAGGTGGCTATGAACTTCTACATATCTCTTCCGCCGTGGCAGTATTGCAATAGTTGAAAGAAGACTTACATGCGTCATGAGGTGTGTTGTGGGCATTAGATTCGTGGGATTTCGGCTATTGTTGTTAGAGGATGTTATTATGGTCATGTGAATTATTCGGTGCATTGTGTAAATTCAGTAAAGGTATGAAAACATGTATTGGTACATCATGTAGTGATTGATACGGTGTTCGTATGCTGGAAACAGGCGTGGTAGAGAATTTCGGATGATGGAATTTGGTTCTAGGGCTTTTTGACTAAATGAAAGGGGGAATCTTCAGATTGGCTCAAGCTAATGTGCTCAATTGGGTTGTGGTAGAATGGGTAGGTGCTCAAGGGGTAAAACAATGATTTGGGGCAACTCCAGAGCAGTTCTTAGCATTTTCGAGGACGAACGTATGCCTAAGTGGGAGAAAATGTAACGACCCGATCGGTCGTTTTGAGCTCTAGCGCGTCGCTGGCGGTTTCAGGCCATGAGTAGCTTCACTTCAGGTATTATGACTTGTACATGTGGTCGGAATTGAATGTCGGGAAGTTAGAAGTTGATTTGGAGAGAAAATTCTGATTTCAGAAGTTTTAAGTTGGAAGAATTGACTTAGGTTTGATTTTTGAGTAAACGACATCGAAATCGGGATTTGAAGGTCCCAACAGGTTCGTATGATGATTTTTCACTTGGGTGTATGTCCGAATCGGGTATTGGATGACCCGCGAGCGTTTCGGCGTCAATTATTAAAAGTTGGCATTTTTTAGAAGAATTTCATAAGTTTGGGTTGAATTGCATTTTAATGTTATCAATGTCCATTTGGAATTCCGAGCCTGGGAATAGCTTCGTACGGTGATTCTGGTCTTAGGAGCACGTCCAGATGTGGATTTGGAGGTTCGTAGGTCATTTGGCGAAAGTTGGAAATTTGAAGGTTTTTAGAAAGTTTGACCGGGATAAGACCTTTTGATATTAGGGTTGGATTTCGATCCTGGAAGTTGGAAAAAGTCCCTAATGACGTATGTGACTTATGTGCAAAATTTGAGGTCAATCGGACGCGATTTGATAGGTTTCGGCATCGAATGTGGAAGTTTGAAGTTCTTAAGTTTAATTAGCTCGAATTGGGGTGCGATTCATGATTTTGACGTTGTTTGATGTGATTTCAGGCCTCGAGCAAGTTTGTGTTATGTTATGGAACTGGTCTGTGTGATTGGACGGGGTCCCGGGGGCCTAGGGTGTATTTCGTGGTGGTTTCGGACCAAATTGGAATGATTTCTTGTTGCTGTTGCTGCTATCTGGTTTCCTTCTTCACCACCGCGAAGGAATTCATGCGTTCGCGAAGGAGACTTTTGGGGGCTGCTGGATTTGCCCATCGCGAATGCGATGGGAGAGATGCGAACGCGGTGAAGATCTTGAGCGACCTACACGAACGCAATTGGGCAGTCGCGAGCGCGTAGAAGGAAGTGAGGAGCTGGTCCTGAGACCGTTTGGCCTACGCAAACGCGGGCCGGGTTTGCGAACGCGAAGTAGTGAGGGCGGAAGGCTTCGCGAACGCGTCGTGAGGAACGCGAACGCGAAGAAGGTTTTCTAGGCCTGGGCTTGCTGAGCTTCGCGAACACGAGGGGATTGCTGCATTCGCGAAGGAGGGGCGCCTGGGCAGTGTATAAGTTGCAAGAACACGGGTTTTGGCCATTTTATTTCATTTCCTCAATGGGAGCCGACGTAGGAGCGATTTTGGAGCATTATTTTCATCATCAAACATGAGGTAACTGATTTCTACTAGTTGTGAGCTACATACAAGGTTTATATATGGATTTAGACATGAAATTTGTAGAAATTTGGGATTTTGAAGAAAAACCTAGAAATTGGTGTTTTTGGATTTTGACCACGAAATTGGACATGGAATTTGGAATAAACTATATATTTGAGTTCGTGGTGCTATGGGTAAAGTTTATCTTTGAAAATTTCCGAAATCCGGGCACGTGGGCCCGGTGGTGACTTTGTCGACTTATCGGGCGGAGTTGGAAGTTGTTATAAATTAGATTGTAACAAGTACTAGAGTATATATTTATTCACATTGATTGACTAATTTTGGAGAAATGGGCATCAGTGTGAGTTGTTGGAAAGGCTTTGAAGCCGGTTAAGGAACTTCGGAGCGAGCTAAGTCTCCTTTCTAACCTTGTAAGAGGGAATTAACCCTACGAGTGATTGATTTAATATGTGCTTCTATTTGTGGGGGCTACGTACGCACGAGGTGACGAGAATCCGTGCGTAGCTACTAATTATGCTTATGTCCGGATAGTTTAGGACTCAAATCATGTTATACTTGCGATGTTTGCACCTTACTTGTTAATTTAATTGCTTAAATCATATTGAAACTTGATAAAAGAATAATAAAAGGTTAAACTTCATTTTCTTGACCGTTAATGAGAATTTGGTATTTCTTTGAATATTTTCCCCTTAATAAATCTTGAATTGGTTGTTTTAATGTATTTTCTCTTCTTGTGGAGTTGGCCGAACGCCTCAGTAGCATAAATCTTGAATTGGTTGTTTGAATAAATTATATATCTGAGTTCGTAGTGCTATGGGTTTAGTTTATCTTCAAATATTTTTGGAATCCTGGCATGTGGGCCCGAGGGTTCACATTACTGACTTTTCGAGCGGAGTTGGGAATTGTTATGAATTGAGTTATTATGGGTATTAGAGTGTACCCTTATTGGTTTTCACATTTGTTTGACTAGTTTTGGATCTTTTGGCTTGGGATTGAAGAGTTAGAGAGGCTTTGGAGACGGGTATGGAACTTCGGAGCGAGGTAAGTCTCCTGTCTAACTCTATGAGGGGGAAACTACCCATAGGTGATGTAATTGTTATGTGCTTCTAGTTGTGGGTGCTACGTACGCACGAGGTGACGAGAGTCCGTACGTAGCTAAAGCAACTTATGTCCGTGTAGACTTAGGATTTTAGCATGCAATATTTGGATTACTTGAACTTATTCTGCTAGCCTAGTTAATTGAAATTATAATTGAACTTGATTAAGAAATTACATATATCTTAGAACAAGCCTTATCACTTTGAGTTGTTAGCAAAATATTTGAGAAATGGTAAGGGTTACACTCACTTGTACTCATGTATTGTATTGTAAACACGTGTCTTGTAATTCGGTAGCTTCCTTCTTTTTCTTGTGGAGCGGCCGAACGCCTCGGTAGTATATTAATGCATTTATGGTTCATGCCGCTCGACCCTCGGCAGTGCACACATTATTTTGGATCGGGCCGAACAACCTCAGCAGAATCGTGCATTATATCGCTAGTAGACTGAATATTCACGAGCTAATCTTCCTATTGATTCCCAACACTTTACCTTATTTCTTATTTATTTTGTATTGACCTTTGGCATTTTCTGAGATATTAAGATAGAATGCTAGATCGAGAATTTATGCTTTGAAAGGAATAATAGGAACAATATAAAATTTCAGATTTACCCCACTATTGGTGTGCACTTCATATCTTTTATGGATTGTCATTTATTTATTTGGACCTCTAGTATGTGTCGATGTCGAACCCTCGTCACTACTTCTTTGGGGTTAGGCTAGATACTTACTGGGTACGCATTGATTTACGTACTCATGCTGCACTTCTGCACTAAATCTGCAGGATTCAACAGGTCACTTGGTGATCATTTTGGCGCGTAGGCTCATCTATTGAGGAGACTTTATGTGAGCTGCAATTCAGGTTACGCATCATAGCCTACCGAGTCCCCATTCTACCAGTAATTTTACCCTGTCTTATTTACATTTTGGACAGATGTTGTATTATTATTGTACTTCTTAGAAAAATGCTAATGCACTTGTGACACCGGGTTTTTGGGGTTTCTACAAGATGTTTGGTATGGTTGTTCATGTAATTACTATCATTTCACCCTTTAAATTTTATTTCATACTAATTAATTAACGAAAATTATGATATCGAAAGTAACAGAATGAGTAAATAAATTGACAAGTCAATGTTGGCTTGCCTAACGGCGGCGTTAGGCGCCATCACGACCTATTGTGGATTTTGGGTCGTGACACTATCCCATACATTATCCCGGCTCAATACTCCCCCTCAAGTTGGAGGGTAGAAAAATGTTCTTCACTCCAAGCTTGCACAACAAATGATGGTGTTGTGTTCGCCCAAGTCCCTTAGTTAGTACATCTGCTATCTGCTCCTTAGTGTTCACATGTATAGTCTTGATGATACCAGCCTTTATCTTCTCTCTGATGAAATGACAATCAATGTCAATGTGTTTTGTGCATTCATGGAAGATGGGATTTGCTGCAATCTGGATTGCTGCTTTGCTGTCACAAAATAGAGCAGCATGTAATTGCAGCTTGACATCTAACTCACCAAACAGACGAATGAGCCCGAAAATTTCAGTTGCAGTTGAAGCCATGCTTCTAAACTTAGGTTCAGCTGAACTCCTTGCCACTGTTTCCTGCTTCTTTGATTTCCAAGAAATCAAAGCATTGCCATATAACACTAAGTAATTAGTAACTAACCTTCTAGTTTGAAGGCATGCTCCCCAATCAGCATCACAATATGCCTTCAGAGTGCCATCACCAGATGAAGGTAACAACAGTCCTTGACCTGGTGCACTTTTGACATATCTGACAACTCTCCTGGCTGCATCTAGGTGAGATTGATTAGGAAAATGCATATATTGACTCAAGGTTTGTACATCAAATGATATATCCGGTCTAGTCGTTGTTAAGTATAATAACCATCGCACTAATCTTTGAAACTCACCAGCATCCTTCAAGAGAGGATCTTGGGCAGTATCCATAGAGTAGGGTATCGATTTGTCAAAATCCGCAGAAGTCAATTTTGATTTACTTCTAATGGTGTGCTAGAAGGCTTGACTTCTGCTAGTTCGAGTTTTAAAATCAGCTCTAAAGCATATTTACGTTGGCTCATGTATATGCCTTTATCTGATCTAACAAATTCAATCCCAAGAAAGAATTTTAACTCTCCTACGTCCTTGATTTTAAAGAACTGCTGCAAGTTGTCCTTTGTCCTTTTGATTTCTGTAATGTTGTTCCTAGTGACTATTAAATCATCCACATAAACTAACACTAGGACAATGTAGGCATCAGTCTTCCTGGTAAATAAGGAGGGATCATAGTGACTTTGGGAGAACCCCATGGTCTGCAGTGCCTCAGATAGATTGATGTTCCACTGTCGGGATGCTTGCTTGAGGCCATATAGAGACTTATTTAGCCTTCATACAAGGTACCCCCCCTGCTTGACAATCCCCTTAGAGAAACCTGGAGGGACAAGCATGTAAACTTCTTCAACTAAGTCGCCTTGCAAGAAGGCATTATGAACATCCATCTGATAGAGAAGCCAACCAGAGGAAGCTTCTGCTGTTACGATTGATCTGACTGTCACCATTTTAGCAACAGGTGAGAAAGTATCAGTGTTGTCAAGACCCTCATTCTGTGTGTAACCTTTGGCCACAAGTTGAGGTTTGTATCTCTCAACCTTACATGAAGCCTGATATTTGATTTTGAATACCCACTTACACCCTATAGGCTGCTTCCTAGGTGGTGGAGGCACTAGGCTCCAAGTCTGGTTATCCTCCAGGTCTTGAATTTCTTGTTGCATAGCATCAACCCATTTAGGATCTGTAGCAGACTCAGCAAAGGATCTTGGTTCTATCTCAGAAGAATAAGGTGCCAAGCATTTGGAGTAGTGAGGTTTCAGTTGAAGATAGTTGAAAGAATTAGAAATAGGGTAGGCACATGCACCATTGGTCTTCTGGGAAATCACAAAATCCTGCATCCAATTGGGGAGCCTAGAGATTCTAGAGGTCCTGCGAGGCTCAAAATTGTTCAAGTTGTCACAATGTTGAAGTGGTGATGAATGTGCAGTGGTTGCAGGATCAACAATAGGTGATGTAGGGAGATCAACAACAGGGTTGCTGAGAAGACCATCTTTCTGTACATCTGGAGGTGGAGAGCCTGAGGACATGGGTATTGTATGTAATGAAGAATCATCACTAGGAAGAGTAATTGACACAGGATGAGTGTCAAAATCTGTTATATCCACTTGGTGATTAGGATGTATAAGTGGAGCCACTGAGCTTGATTCAATTGATAGCTACTTGAATGGAAAGTTGTCTTACTTAAAAACAACATCTCTGCTAACAAAGACTGCATGATTAGATAGATCAAACAGTTTATAGCCCTTCTGAGTTGAGGAATAACCTAAGAAGATTGCAGGAACAGCTCTGGCAGAGAATTTGTCCCTTTTCTTCAAGTTTGTAGCATAGCAAAGACATCCAAACACCCTGAGATGGTCTAGTGAAGGAGTTCTATTAAACACCAATTCAAATGGGCATTTTCCACCCAATATACTTGAGGGGATTATGTTGATCAAATATACTGCTGTCATAATGAATTCACCCAAAACTCCAAAGGCGCATTTGCCTGGAAGTTTAGTGACCTGGCAGTGTCTAAGATGTATCTATGTTTCCTCTCTACTATTCCATTCTGTTGAGGGATGTAGGGCATGTGCTCTGATGTGTGATACCTTCTTTATTCAACAATTTCTTAAGCTGGTTACTGAAAAATTCTCCTCCAGTGTTTGTTCTAAGAGTTTTGACAGTGGAAGAAAATTTAGTTTTAATCATAGCAATTAAGAATTTCAACACCACAACTGATTCATCCTTAGAATTCATGAGTCAAACCAAGGTAAACCAACTGAAATCATCCAAATGAGTTAAAAAATATTGTTTTCCATCATGGGTAGGTACCCTAAAGGGTCCCCATACATCTGCGTGATAAGATCACCTAATGCATTACTCTTATTGGTACTATCTGGAAAGGCAGACGTGTTTGTTTAGCCAAAAGGCATATAGAGCAATGATCAAAACAATTAAAAAATTTTGTGTTTCCGAACATAGGTCTCCTTTTCATAATATCCATAGGTACATGACCTAACCTTTTATGTCATAGGGTACCATTTATTCTATTTACAGGCAATGTAGAAAACATAAGGCCAATAGGTAGTCCTTCCTAGGTGTTGCTCTTGACAGTCTGGTCTAGCACATATAGTCCATGCTCCACTCTACTAATCTCCTTCACCTTGCCACTGCAAATGTCCTGGAATACACAACATGCGGGAATGAAGGCAAGAAATAAGCCTAAATCCTTGGTCAATTTAGACATTGATAGCAGGTTGTACCTTAATTTATGCACATAAAGTACATTCTTGATCATCATGCCATCTAATATACTGGAAGACCCTAAATGTGCAATTATACTTTTCTCTCCAGTAGGCAGTTGCACCTTTCTCAAACTACTCTCAGACAGCTCCACATAGTCAATGCATATATGTAGGCTAGACACCATGTGATTTGTAGCTCCTAAGTCTATAATCCACCTATTTTCCTTGATCACACTCAGAAGTGACAGTGGTATACTTGTGATCTTAGCATGAGCTGCTGTATCAACTGAAGTGTTGGCCTGGTTGAGCATTTGAAGCAGCTAATGATATTGCTCTTCTGTAAAGAAATGTCCTACTGGTGCACCTTTTGTACATTCCTTCTGTTCATCAGGGGATTTAGATTTGTCCATCTGCACATGATGTGCTGCAATTACATTCCTTCCAAAAGCCTTCCTCTTTAGTTTGAAGTTTGCAGGATAGCCAACCAGTTTGTAACAGACATCCGTAGTTTGACCCTTTTGTTTGCAATAGTCATTGTACAACTGGTTCTTTTGCTTGTAGCCCCCAGTGTATGCTTGCCATGTGTTGTAACCCACATCATTTTGCCCTGTGTTATAATCCACAACATTAGCTCCATAACCTGCATTGGAAGCCATTGTGTTAGCTCCATGACCTGTGTTATATACTATTTCTTGGCCTCCTATTTCAAAATTACTGATGCCAGTTGCTTTGGCTCGTTGGCTCTCATCCTGCATAACCATCGCATAGGATTCATTGACGTTTGGAGTTGGAATCATCAACATTATCTGCCTTTTTGCTTGAGCAAATGACTCATTTAGGCCACTTAAAAATTGCACCAGACGTTGTTGCTGAATATGTTCCAGAAATACTTTCGATTCAGGACACGAATATGAAGGAGTAGGTGTCATAGCATCATATTCTTCCCAAAATCCTGTAGCTTAGAATAGTAAGTGGATACTGATGCTAAACCTTGCTTCAGAGTTATAATTTCCTGATGCAAATTGTAGATTCTAGAAATGTTCCTTTTGTCAAAACGTTCCTTTACATCCTTCCACACATTGCATGCAGAAGAACCATAAACCATATGTCATGACCCAATTCCACTTTAGGTCGTGATTGTCACGATCCGGATTTGCCACCCTCGGGAGTCGTGATGGCGCCTACTCGTAGAAGCTAGGCAAACCACGAAATATAGAAATTCTACTCCTTCATTTTTATCCTTTTTTTAACAACTTGAGTTAACAGGTAATCGATATATTAAAATTAACGATAACAGAAATAAGCGGAAGACTTAACCAGCTAAAAATAGCCTAACCAGTACTACAATACCAAAGAACTCCTCTACCCGAAATCTGGTGTCACAATATTCACGGACGGACTAAGATTACTACAACAAATGTCTGAAAGAAATACAATCTGTCTCGAAATCAAATGAAAACAGAATACATAATGAAATATAAGAGAATGCCGGGCATGCGAACGCCTGCAGGACTACCTCGGGATCTCTGGATGGACTGAAGGCTGGCTCCCCGAGTGCTACTGTCCAAATGTTGCTCCGGTATCTGCACATAGTGCAGAGTGTAGCATCAGCACAACCGACCCCATGTGCTGGTAAGTGCCTGGCCTAACCCCGGCGAGGTAGTGACGAGGCTAGGACCAGACTCCAGATAAACCTGTGCAGTTATATAATATACAGCGGAAAATAACAGGAATAAACAATTTAAATAGGAGGGGGGGGGGGTACATGATACGGGCAAAATGTCAAATCCAGCAGGAACTTAAGAGAAATATGAGAGAACAACTCAGAATCTACAACAAAACAATAATAATACTGTTGCGGCGCACAACCCGATCCCTTATCATTTACCACTGTTGTGGCGTACAACCCGATCAAATATAATATTGTTGCGACGTGCAACCTGATCCAATATAACATTGTTGCGGCGTGCAACCCGATCCATATTTAGTATTGTTGCGGCGTGCAACCTGATCCATATTTAATATTGTTGCGGCGTGCAACCCGATCCACATTCAATATTGTTGCGGCGTGCAACCCGATCCATATTTATATATATACCTTTAGCAACAACCATACCAAGTGTCCCGGCAAGGGATCAATAATAAACTACACTATCCCGGCAAGGGATTTAACAGTAAAAGTAAATACGTCCCGGCAAGGGAGAATCAGCTATAACCAATCTTAACTCAACTCCTACTCATCTCAGTTAACACCAATACTCAATCATAAGTAATTTCCACGAAAAATAAACTAAATCCTTGCTCAATATCGAGAATCGCCAATAAAAGCATCCGTAGTATCATTTAAGAACACAACAATATCAAATTAAGACTCACGGTCATGCTCGACACCGACGTATAGATACCCGTCACCATGCCTATACGTCGTACTCAACAAGAAACAAATAGCAAATGGGACTCAACTCCTATTCCCTCAAGCGAAGGTTAGACCGAACACTTACCTCGAAATTCCACGGCCAACTCAATCCTCAAACACCGCCATTCCTTTCGAATTCGACTCCAAATCAATTGTATCTATACATAATCGACTTCATAACATCAATAAATGCTAAACAA